GTTATTTTTTATTATTATTATTATTATTATTATTATTATTACATCACCATTTCCTTTCCCTTTGGCAACCATCATCTGTTCTCTGTATCTATGAGTCTGTTTCTGTTTTATTTTGTTGAGACATTTTGATGTTGCTGACCCTCCATGTTACAATATTGCTCCATAATAAGTTAAACCGAGTTCCTCAAACTATTATTTCATTTGCCTTTTGAGAGACAGTACGGCGCAGTGTTTAAGACACATGGCTCTCTCATCTATAGAATGGGAATAATAACATACTTATTTCATAGGCTATTTTCAAGGATTTGATGGACTCATATATGTAAAGTAATTAGAACAGTGACTGAAACCTAGTAAGTGATATATGTGTTGCTATTTTTATTTCTTCTTATTTTTCTTTGAATAAAGATGGTTAGTAGTTTGATACATAGGCATTCGGACCTGGAAGCTTTGAATAAATGAATCTTTTTCTGGACTGAATAACCACAGTTCCTTTACGCTATATTTTTTACAAGACTAATTTTCCAAATTTTTAAAAATCCCCCGTGGCCCTTCATCTCAAGTGAAGTGAAAAGAGTTCATATTTTGCTATTGCAACAAGGATTTTTTTAACCAAGACTAAAAAAAATCCCATCTGTTTAACACATACCTTTATAGGGTCATTCTCCATGTTACTCATAATGGGCATATGACATTGCATAAGACAAGCAAGAGCCCTGCCTTCATGGGATGTACAAATTCTTAGCTGCAGAAACAAACTCTTTTTATCATTAAGCAAGTCACATACCACTCTTTCGGATTCTCTCTTCCAATAGGTCAGCATGCCCAGCTGGAAGTTTCTTATTGAAAATCTCAGCTGAACGGAGGAACATAGCTTCAACTGCAGACCCTTTCAGCAAAGCAATCTGATCTTCATGGTCCAATGTCTGAAATCCTGCATGAAGGTGATAATGAAATCAATATCAAGGAGTCGTGAATGCTATAAAACAGTATTCATCTTCACCATCATCCCCACTGATAAAACATTCTCATAAAATTATTTTGTAGTTGTTTTAAGATTGGATAGTGAAGTCCATAAGTATCTATTGTTCTCTCCCAAATAGAAGCTGACTTTTATCTTCATTGACTAGAATTTGATAAACAAGTTGGGTAAAAGAGGATCCACATCAAACATATATATATGTTATGGCAGAGACAGGCCGATGCAGATGAAGCCACCCTCAAAAGTTAGAGGCAAGCAGATTCTCTTTGAGCCATTATTTTAGTTACATCTGGTGTCAGAGGTCAACTCCGCAGAATGGAAGTTTCCACAAGCCAGAAAAATATTTACGTGTATCCAGAGGTTTAAAGAAATATTTGGCCAACTCATGGATCTTTAGTCAACCTGGAGAATGTGTAGCATTTCCAATAAAAAACAAACAAACAAACAATCAAGGTCATGTTTCGTATCTTCTCTAAGCTCAGCCCTCCACCATGCAGGGCGGGGAAAATGACTGACTAAAGTAATGAATGGGAAACAAACAAAGCTCATGTGCACATGTGCACACACACACACACACACACACACACACACACACATACCTACCACGAATAGAGATAAAATCAGGATAATGCCTTCAGGGTCTAAGTGGACGAATAGAGATAAAATCAGGATAATGCCTTCAGGGTCTAAGTGGCCTAGGAAAGTATTAAATAGCAATGGGAGTTTGGAGAAGAGAGTAACACTAAGGATAAAGAAGTAGTGTCACTTTCAGAGACTCTAAGCGCTCCTTTGCCAGGTCTCTAGCACTCTGAACAGGCCTCAGTGAACTGTGGAATGGAATCCCTCAACTCGGTCCTTCACAAAACACTCTTTCATTATTAGTACTGCATACCTATTATTACTATTTGTAATCATGTCATTTCTATAATTATTGTTAAAACATTTTTTTCTTTCTCGAGGGTTGTCTTTTCTTTCCTTCTGTGTTTTTATTTTTTTCCTTCTACTTTGCTCATGAAACACACATTAATTATACTCTCTCCCTAACGATCCAGTCCAGGCACAGGATTGAAGAGGTGTGTAAGATATTGCCATTGCTTTCAGATAAGCTACCTTATTATAAGTTAAGATTTTTATTTGTCCTCAATATTTCTTGGTTAAAAATCAACTGACCATTTGAACTGAAAAATCTTTTCCTATAAACAACAAAAAACATCGTATTTCTCCCTTTCCAGTATCTCTTCCCACAGTTTCTAACTCTTGAATAATCATGTTTTTGATCAAGATTGCCTTCAGCTTAATTATCATAAAACAAATTAAGTTCTGTTTTTCCTTGTTAATAAAGAAATGAGAGAATATTAATGTTTCCATGATAACAAGAACTTCTTCCTACATTTTATGAGTTTTATGTAGGCTTATGTTTATCTCTGACACATTTAATAAAATAATAGCATAATGCTGGCAAAAGAAGGCAAATTAACATGTTTAATTAAAATCTTCTGTCAGAAGTTACCTTCTATAATTTAATATTACTGTGTTATGCAGCTATACAAGGTATTTATTATATTCTTCTAGACCAGCCGTGGGCAAACTACGGCCCGCAGGCCGGATCCGGCCCGTTTGAAATGAATAAAACTAAAAAAAAAAAAGACCATACCCTTTTATGTAATGATGTTTACTTTGAATTTATATTAGTTCACACAAACACTCCATCCATGCTTTTGTTCCGGCCCTCCGGTCCAGTTTAAGAACCCATTGTGGCCCTCAAGTCAAAAAGTTTGCCCACCCCTGTTCTAGACCGTGAGATTTTAATGTGCTAATATATTTTTTAAAACAATGAAACAACTTAAACATATTGACTTAGATTGCATTGAAATTGTATCTAAAAGAATTGGACTCTGGGAGATAAGAAGCTTGCATTCCAGTTTCCTGTACTGTCACCATCAGAATGACTGGATAAATCCCTCTCCCTCATCCCACACATGACGGACACTTGTTCATTAAGTGCTACCAATTTTTAAATCTCTCTTTATTTTGTTTCCTATTATCTCTCCCACTGCCCTATTTATTTATTTCAAGCCCTATTGCTTGGACTAATGCAGTAGCATAGTAACTGATCCTCCTTACCTCCAGTCCCTCCCTGTTCAAATCCATCTAATACAAACTAATAAAGCTATATCTCTATAACATAAATCTCATCATTTCCCTCTTTTTATAAAAGCCACCAAGAAGTCTTTATCACCCAGGGGATGAGAATTAAAACCCTTAGTTAAGCCCTAACTGGTGTGGTACCAGCTTACTTTATGTCTAACCAAGGAGCCACAGACATTATGCTACAGCCACAGTGAATTTTCTCTTCCTTCTCTAATAATTTGATTCTTACTCATGCCTCATTATATTTTCACAAGCAGATTTCTTGATTTCAAATGACCCTTCTCCTTAATGTTACCTGAAAGCTCCTTTTTGTTTTAGATTCAATGCAAATATGACTCTCTCAGAAGCCTTCTTGTCTTTTTCAAATATAATCAGCAATTACTTCCTTTTTGTTCAAACAGCACTTTGCATACATTTTTTTAATTATACCCTTTAATCACTCTCCTAGTAGGTAATAGCTAGGTACTTAGGATAGAGTAGGTATCAACAAACATTATTAAATGAATAAATGGATGAATCACAACTTAGCAAAGCCACAATTTCTTAATTTATCCATTTGGAAGAATTAACATCAGTGATTTTAAATATCCTATCTGGCACTAACATTTTTTAAATATATTTTATTGATATTTTTACAGAGAGGAAGGGAGAGGGATAGAGAGTTAGAAGCATCGATGAGAGAGAAACATTGATCAGCTGCCTCCTTCACACCTTCTGCTGGGGATGTGCCTGCAACCAAGGTAAATGCCCTTGACCGGAATCGAACCTGGGACCTTTCAGTCCGCAGGCCGACGCTCTATCCACTGAGCCAAACTGGTTAGGGCAAATGTTTTATGTCTGTAGCAGCCATATAAAATCAGATGTGAGATAATTCTCCTTTTGCAACAAACAGACTTGCCTCTCTTAATATCACAAGAATATCACACAATGTAGCAGAGAAGTAACTACATGTAGATACCTGGTAGCTTTTTTGTGAATTCTACAAGAATCTGTACATGACTGGTAGCCATTTCAGTTAAAATGAGAAAATTTTCTTCTGCACTGAATTCTTCTTTTAACTGAATTTTAAGAAAAAAGCAAATGATTAATAAGTAGATAAAAGGATAAAACAATATAAAATCATTAGGCTAAAGAACCTAGACAATAACATTTAAAAACCCAGTTCATACTTTTCAGATCCTGGAGAGCAATTATTATTACCAAGACGGATATGAGGCTTCTTTCTCATTAGTTATTTAATGCTGCTAAAAGCTTAAATGTATAACAAATTCTTGGCTCTAATCATTTCAAAGTAACATGTTTATATATTAATTCCACCTCAAACATAGCAAACGCCCCTGAAAACATTAAGTTTAAGCCCATGCATTTTCAGATAGTGTACGTACAATTTTATTTGTGATTTCCTGAGGCATCCTCTGTTTGCTATATGAATCCATAATATAATGTAGAAGATTCTGTTGATCCAGGGTGAGTTCAGTTTTCTCCTACACTGGCAAAAAAATAAAAGATGTTAGGGAGGGTGGCTATGAGGCATTCTCTCACACTCATCTGGAGTAAACTAAATATCAGAAATTGCTGGGGAAAGCCACAAATATAGCAGGAACTGTATGCTCTGATTGTGTCATCACTTTTTCGGAGCCCTTGGGCAAGCCATATCCTATTACACTAAATTTGTCTCAAGGTATTCATTTTCCTCTGTAAAATAGGGGAAAAGGAACTATTTCTTTCATGTATTTCTTAGGAATAAATAATAATCTGGATATGAAGCTTATTGAACCCATTCATAGAGAAGTTCAGTGGAAGTTCAAGGTTTGGCCATAACTAAGGAAAAGTTCCCCCATGTAACACAGAGACCCCATTTGAGGGTATTTATTTAGGGCAGGGGCTGACACACTGGGGCTCATGGACCGAATCCACCTGGTTTTGTAAATCCACTGGAAGATAATCATACTCATTTATTCATGTATCACCAATGCTACTCAATGTTGGGTAGTTGAGATGGAGACCGTGTGGCCAAAGCCTAAAATATTTGGCACTTTACAGAAAAAAACTGCTGACCCCTAAAGTAGAGAGTCCTCCATCTGGACAATCCCACCCCCAGACATCTCTTTCTCCCTTACTAGCGTCTTTGGAAGAGGGTGAATAATTGTGCCAGTTCTTTGTTTCCTTATACCAAAGATGAAGCACTATGGCAAAATAATACTTCCATATCAAATACTTTTCCTGTGATAAATATAAAATAATATATCTGAAAAACTAAATGTGGATGATTTTTTTTTGTCAGTAGTGTAGTAAATATTAAGAAGGGCATGATTTGAACAAAAAATGGATTCTTGGTTTTTCAGCTAATGGCAAATTAAAATTCCTTTAAGTGCCCTGTGCATTATCAGTATGTTTAGCTAATCAGACAAGATGCCATTCCTCTATTTGTCCCAAGTTGCTCAAAGGATTTTATTGAGTGATCTGTGACCTCAGGAGAAGAGCTTTTCTCTATTGGTGCAGAGATGTGCATTCACCCTGTTTTACCCATAGATAAAGACTGGCTCATGCCCTGGCCAGTTTACTCAGTGATTAGAGCATTGGCCCATAAATGAAAAGGGTCTTGGGTTTCATTCCCGACCAAGGGCACATACCTTGGTTGCAGGTTCAATCGTCGGCCCCAGTGGGGGTAAGAGTGGGAGGCAAGCAATCGATATGTCTCTCTCACCTTGATCTCTCTCTCTCTCTCTCTCTCTCTCTCTCTCTCTCTCCCCCCCCCCCCCCCCCCCCTCTCCTTTCCTTTCTCTCAATGGAAAAAATATCCTCAGGTGAGGATTTAAAAAAAAAAAGACTGACTCACAGCCTCTATCGAGTCCACACCCTTCCCAGTCTGAACCTCCCTTCTCACTGGCTGGGAAAAATGGTCATCAAAACTCAGTTTGAAAAAATCCCTTTTATCCACCAAACCATTTCTACTGGCAACATCTGGGTAGTAGGAATGAAATGGAGCCAGGGAAAATTTTCCCTTTTTTTATTTTATACACTCCTACTATCTGACTTTTACACAAAAGGATGTATTATTATCGTGATTAAAAAGAAACTCATTCACCCGTGGACACAGACAATGCGGGGGGGTGCGGGTCTTGGAGTGGGGGGAGCGGGAGTGGGCTAGAAGAGGTTAATGGGGGGGACCTATGAAATACTTTCAACAATAAAGATTTTTTTTAAAGAAAAAAAAAGGAAACAAAAGAAACCCACTCAATGCCCAGCTGAAGTGAAATTCTGCTCATGGCTGTGGTTCTAACATGAAAGCCTCCCAGCCAGACCACGACATGCCTAGCAGCTCAGCGGCGCTGGCTTTGGCAGACACCGTGGCGTGTTATTACCCTGCATGACTTAGTGGTCGAGGTCACTTGTCGCAGGTCACGCCCTTCGCTGTCTTCATGAACGGTCTGATCTGCATGCTGCTTCACGTTTTTTCTCAGTCGTTTGGATTTACACTGAATTTCAGTTAACAAGCCTGAAAAAAATAAACACAGAGACCTAACCAACCACAGAAAGTACTGATGGGTGTGTGGTCACGAGACTTGGCCTTGAATAGGAAATGTATCCTCTGTGAGTCTCAGCTTCTTTATTTGTAAAATAGGAATAATATCTACCTTGCATGGTTTTGTGTATATTAAATGTTATGTCATTTTTTAAACTTAGCTTTATATAAAGGATGTAATGCAAAGCATTGTACAAATGCAAGGTATTTGATCAATACAATGAAGAATGACACTCCCTATTCCTGTCCTAGGGAACTTTGAAAGTTATTGTTTCAAGACATAATATTAATATTATAACTGCACCATAAGGCATGTATTCAATTTCACATTGAGCACATAAGTAATCATGTTGAATCAAACAAATGTCAAGATCCTTTAGGAAAAAAAATTCCAATCCTGTTCATTTTCAGAATTGTATAAATGATTGAGAACATAGTTAAAGATGAAAATAACTCAAGGGGACCTAGACATTTTCTTTTGAATAATCACATACTGTCATCATTAATTTACACTAAACAGAGCTATATTATCTTCCACATTCCTATTTAACTTCCTCATTCTCTCAATGTGAAGGAAATGAAATCCCAGGATTTTCTTTGTCCAGGGAATTCGGTTTATAGGATCACATGAAAGCTTTGCACCTGTTACTGGTCAAGTCCATGTGCATAAATAATATTATAGCCTCTTCTATTATAGGTGGCGTCATGAAAAACGTCCCCAGAGCCCCAGTTGGGACAAGTTCATGTTTAAGTGATGAGCCACATGAACTGCCTGGTATCGAAGCAAATGTTTCCATGGCAGGATTGGGTTCCGGCAGCAGCCCCTCCTGCAGTCTCCTGTTTCATACATGCTGAGAGGAGATTGTGATCGGCCACCATAAAACTTTCATCCTCCCGGCGTGGGATTATTTACACTGACCTATTTTCTGCCTCCTGCGTGCATTATCTGCCTGGGTCCATCCCAGTCGCCTGTATGGTTTGGGAATAATAGCACTGGAATCGCCTTCCAAAGGCTTTTCTTTCGTGTGGCATTCCCTCCCTGACTGTGATCATCCCCTTGGTGACATCTGTTTGTCTCCTTGTGTTCGGAGGGGAACAGGACCTATCTCAGAATCTGAGCGGTCTGGAGAATTTGCAGAATGAAAAATGAATATGTTATATCCTAGCATGCATTCCAAATGTTGATGAAGATTACGGTTTCTCACAAAGCCAGCAGTTAATACACTGTCTTTTTTCCTTATCAGATTGAAGGACCAAATGATATTAAAACTTGGGGGAGTTAATTTCCTGTGTAAATCTATACAAATTGGTTCAGAGCTGCAACCAAAAAAAAGAAAAGGATTCTTAATAAAACGACTTGATAAAAAACTCTATTTAGACAAGTCCGTGGCAGTTATACCTTATTCTTAATTTTCCCCACAACTGTGAATTTTTATGTTAATTAAACAAAAAATTAAAAAAGATATTAAATTGAATGTGGAGGAAACTTTTAGACTGTCATTCTTTGTAACTTATTAAAATAATGCCACTTCGCTCCATGTCTCAATGAACAACAAAACACAGCTGTTTGTTTTTTTTTTCAGGTGAATAGAATGCTCTTTCGCTGACAGTTTGGACAATTCAGTGGTTCATGATCCTTTTCAAGAACTTAGATGGCTTAGTAAGTCCCTTCTTCAACGTGTGAAGTACCATTCTAATTAGATGAGTTACCTGGCATCTGCCTTCTTAAGAGATAGTTAGTGGAATTTAATTGCTTGATGCGAATACCTCTATACATACATTCAGCCAACATTCCCATCTCTTTGCATTTCCTTAGTCGGCACTCCTGGCACTTTCTTCGCATGTACATGTCCATCACACAGTTGCCTCCGTTTTTACACTTGTACACGGCATTTTTGGTGATGCTTCTCCTGAAGAAACCTGTGGCAGAAACACAGAAAGGAGTGAAAAGACTCCTAATACCATCTACTCAGAAAAACACATTAGGACGGAGATGCCCAAGAATTTTCTCCTGGACCCTGGAGAGCAACAGCTGCCAGGTAATCCTTGCGTGCACTGTTGGCAAAGTGCTTTCAACTGCACTGCATCACCCAGAAAGCTGCTGTTTTTAATGCATCTCTCAAAAATAAAGACATGTTTCACTGACAGCCTTTCCAAGGAAAAAACCTTAGTTCATTTTTTAAGATAAATTATGTTCATTATATCTTCATTAGGGATCAATTATGGACCAGGCGTACTTACTCTAGGTCAGTGATGGCGAACCTATGACACGCGTGTCAGGTGACACGCGAACTCATTTTTTTGGTTGATTTTTCTTTGTTAAATGGCATTTAAATATATAAAATAAATATCAAAAATATAAGTCTTTGTTTTACTATGGTTGTAAATATCAAAAAATTTCTATATGTGACACGGCACCAGAGTTAAGTTAGGGTTTTTCAAAATGCTGTCATGCCGAGCTCAAAAGGTTCGCCATCACTGCTCTAGGTGCTAGTGGTACAAAGGTAGGCAAGTCATCCCTGCCCTCTTAGCGTCTACAGACTGGCTGAGGGCAAAGCCATGCAAAGAATCAAACAAGTAAAACTGAGCCTTCCTGGGCTGTGCTGGGGCAGAGGAGGCAGGGGGAATGGCCGGTTCTGGAGGAAGAGGTCAGACTCAGAAGTGAGTGTTGAGCTAAGTCTTGAGGTTGAGTCTTTATTGTTGAGAAAGAGAAACCATTACAGGGTTTTGGGTTTGGCAGGGGAGGGTATGACCTAACGTGCATGTTGGGAAGAAAGGTGGAGCAGGGAGACTAGAGCCAGGAGACTGTGACCAGCCAAGAGGTGATCAGGCCTGGACTTGATGTGGGGGGCGGTGATAGAGGAACAATCAGAGCTTGGTAACTACCTCAATATGAAACCAGAGGCTGAAGGAAAAGTGAGAGATGTCAAGGCTAAAGGCGTACTAGTCTTGCTTGTGAATTTGTCAGTTGGCAAAACTTGCAGTGAAAAGATGTTACTATTTTCCTAAATGTCAAATTCAACCATGGAGAGTATAAAAAAAGTCTGTGCTTCAGATCAAAGTTGATACTGGAAGTGCAAATATCAAAGTATGCATTTAAAAAGAGACTATAGGCAAAAAATATTATTTTCCTGATTCCAGATCATTAAACTCAATGACCACCTTAGCCCACCTGAGTCAATCTTTCTATTAATCTTCAGCTCCTGTCAAGAACAATCCCATTTAATATGGTCAGATACTGATAGCTCAATAGTTAACAGAAATAAAACTCTTACTCCAAGATGAGTCAAAGGAACGGCGGCTAGAAAAAATCTGCAGGTTTTTCACTCTGATATTAACTCAGAAAATCATTATCATCTCAATAGCTGAATTGATTAGCTTTCACTCTGAGGTAGCAATATTCTATTATCACTATATCACTTAAATAAAAGTACATATACTATATTTATACTTATGCAAATCTATCCATACCCATACCTCTGATTCTATCTTGTGCATATTCAGCAATGCCCATATCAGAGAAGTCATTTGAAAATGAATGGAAAGGAAATTCACTGAGGAACAGAGGCCCCGTGGTAACAAAAGATGAATAGACAGGGCTGGCATTGCACGATGGGGCTGGCAGGAAGACAGCTTTAGGATGGTAACATGGATCCCTCAAATCTGCTGAATATTGCACATTCTGCTTTTCTGCTTCTTTATACGCATGGAACCCACATATCACACCCTACTCTCAACTCATACACATATGTGTGCATGTGCACACACGTAGGCACACAAACACACACACACACAAGCCAGACTTCAGTAACTGACCGTGGGCTACCCATTGCTTGGAAACTATGGTTGTTTAAAACTTTAAGGGTCTCCATGTTTTGGAAACAGCAACAAACACAAAGCCGAGCAACTAGTGAGCTTTATGGCTTACCCGTGGTCGGCAAACCGTGGCTCTCGAGCCACATGCGGCTCTTTGGCCCCTTGAGTGTTGGTCTTCCACAAAATACCACGTGCAGGCGCGCACGTACAGTGCGATTGAAACTTAACTTCGTGGCCCATGCGCAGAAGTCAGTATTTTGTGGAAGAGCCACACTCAAGGGGCCAAAGAGCCGCATGTAGCTTGCGAGCCGCAGTTTGCCGACCACTGGAGAGTTAGCCTTTGGATCTGTCTCAGCACAACGGAGGGTAAAAAGTCCCCTCACCCCCCCACCCCTGCTCCATCCACTTACATAGGATTAATTTTGTATCAGACACTGTTCTAAACATTTTGCAAATGCTGATGCATATAATATTCATAACAATCCTATAATATAGAGTCTATTATTATTTCCCTCTTACAGATAAGGAGTCTGAGTTATACGGAGATGAAGTAATTCGATCAAGACCCTACAGATAGTAAATGGTAGAGCTCAGATGTGACTCCCAACAGGGTAGGTTTCAAACTGTGCTCTTAACCACTACAGTCTGCTGCCTTCCTAGTAAGGAGTTTACATTCTTAAAAATTGTCTTTAGACATGAATCTCCCCCAATTCCACACAGCACGTTAAGTGCTCCACAGTTTCTTCCCTTTCTCCAAAACTTCTTCAGAAACATCCTACTCTTCCTCCTGCGCCCCAGCTGTCTTTCCCACCTCTGTCTCGCTGTTAGGAAGCTTGAAAAAGGTACAAACTAGAGAGAGGGTTTCCATCACACACTTCTTAATCTTTAGGACCTCACTTCTCTCCTTGAGCTTCTTTCTGAAATTTTAAAAACTTGATAATAGACTCCTGACCATCTGGCAAGAGCTATTTTCAGAAACGAAAGAGAAAATCCTCAAACTTTTGACATACAGTTGATGAAAATTGTTAATTATTTCATTCCTATTGATACCTCAGGGATCCACCAGTCCATTCCCAGCAAATCACCGGGGAAAGGCTCCAACAAAGGGGAGATGGACTCATGTTCAGTGAAGTAGGGGTGGCATATGGAAGGTGCCTGTCAGTCTAACCTGGGAACAAAGATAATTGGCTGGAGAGGGTGGGGCCACTGCAATTCCACGAAAATTTGGGAATTCATAATCCCGCAGACAAATCCTCTCTTGTGGCTCTCCTGTTCCTCTGGCTTGGCTCCTGCTTCCTTGCATTCGCCCGCATTCCCTCCAGAGCCATGTGGGCCTCAAGGACAGATGGACTGCAACTGGGAACAAAACTAAGCTAGCCTGATGATGCTGGATTGTACTGTGCAGACATGGGGCAGAAACTCGGGGCAATGGCTTTAATCCTAGCTCTGCTGAAAGCAAAATGGGACGTTTTCCTTGGCGGGGCGGAGGGAAGTGGCACCTTGGAAACACTGGGGTCTAATTCCATGCAAATAAATATCGTTCGTTCTCCCGTGCGAATCTCAGAAAATTCCTTTTCTCGTGACGTTGCAATAACCCCACTTCCACTGGCAACATGTGGGAACACAGAGAGTTCCCCCTGCTAGTCATTAACTTTAAGGTTTTTTTCTTTCCTTAATGCCTTAGACACACACACACACACACACACACACACACACACACACACACACATACAAAATGTCTACCTGACTTCTCCAACACTTAGTTTTGCCAACTACAATTTCTATTGATTTTTTAATTAAATGGCTTAAAAAGGACTGACTTTAAATTATTTTTGTAAGTTGCCTGATATCATGCATAACTAGATAAATCTATAAGCAACTTAGTACTCAAAGGACATTTATCAAGCTCCTATAATCCCTTCTGCCAAAATAAACCATGAAAACTTACATATGCCACGAAATGAGAGAAAAGTTCATTAAAACAGCATAGTTTAGAAAAGAGTGCGAATGAAGCTCTATCAATGTGTCAAAAAATGTTGGTGAATCTCTGCAAGATAGAAAACAGTAAATTTCTGAAGAACCGTGGCCCACTGACAGGTGCATAAAAATGCAGGTGTAGGAGCAATGGGGGAGGTGCAAGTTCAGATGCAAGGAGATTCAGACAGCCCTAAGGCATTCTTAGGGAGAATTGTGCTAAGCCAGGAGTTGGCTAATTATGCAGGGCAAATTTGCCAAGCCCCTCCCCACCCCCCCCTCCCCTTAGCACACACACACCTATTGTTGTACAGCCCACAACCCAGGAATGGCTATTACATTTTTTAATGGTTGAATAAAATTTTTAAGACTATTTTGTAATATTTAAAACTTATATGACATTCACATTTCAGTATCCACAGATAAAGTATATTAGATCACAGCCAAGCCCATTCATTTTCATGATGTCTGCTTTTGCACTATAACGGTAGAGTCAAATAGTTGAGAGAGAGACCTAATATTCACAAAGCTTAGAATACAGGCCCCTTACAGAAAAAGTCAGCCAACTCCTGTGCTACACCATGGGTAGCAGTAGTATTTGCATGCAGTCTCAAGCAATGACTAGAAGCCAGAGAGGGTAGGCAATGCCAGGAGGAATGAGAAGTCCCCCTTGCCCAGAAGACAAGGACCAGAACATGCTATCCAACAGCACATCTTGTCCTCCATCCTGATCGCTAAAAGCAGGCTGCTAAACCCAAACAGCATCTTCAGAGAGGTGAGCAGGGAATCTCAGAGGCTCTTCCATGAATGAGATCACTCTTCTTTCTCGAGTCATTTAGGAAGTGCTTTGTGGGAGTTTGCCCGGCTGGCAGCTCTGAGTCTGTTTCTCCTTTTGCCCTCACCTATTAATAGAAAGGGCAGGCTCAAAGCCTGAGCCATTGAAAAGTATCCTGTTGATAAGTTGACCGACATGACCTACAGGATAATGGTTTTTTAAATATTTCATATAAGAATTTTTAAAAAGCTCAATTTATTCATCAGCTCAACCACAGAACTGGGAAAGAAATTCAATCTACCTCATTTTAGCACTGTAAATGAGCATAATAAATTTTCACAATTTTTTAAAAGGT